TTGCAAGACACGGGGCCAGAAATTAAAACTATTTGATCCTTCTAGGCCCAGAGACTATCGTAAAAGAGGTGAGCACTTGAGATTGCACGGGGCAGTTGTGAGAGATAAAATTAGTTCAGAGTTTTTCTATAAATTAAACAATATCAAAAGCACATGGATATAAGGCCAGTGTCTGGGCCCCTGTGTCAAAATAATAGGGTTTTCTTGGAGCTCTGATCTTCTCTTTAACAGAAAATTGTAAAAGGTTATAAACATTTTATGTAAATCTTACTTTATGTTTAAACTGATTAAAATAAATTTGTTTACAAGTTTTTATTAAAATTAGTTTTAACATTAATAATACATTATACAAAGGTAAAATGTTTTTCTTTTTTCAATAAAATTTTTGTATAACATTAATAAGAGATAACAAAATCTTTTTTTACTTTTTGAGTAAGCTGCAGAATAAAAGGAGAGAGAGACAGATTCAGTTGGCCTCATGCTGTCTTTATTAGGCCATATTGTTTGGGAAACTGATTCTCCTATCAAAGAGTAAAGGTTTTTGTGGGGGGGGTTGAAACATTTAAATTATTTTGGCTAAAGGAACGGAAATTTTATAGTGACCTGTGTGTCTCTAACCTTTGATATTTGACAAACTCCAAAAGCAAAATTTCAAGTTTCAAATTCAGTCTTCTTTACCTCAAACTAGCTCTTTGGGGGATATCGGGCCCCCAAAGTCCAAGAGAGACATATTAGGATTATTTGGTATGTTAGAATTATACAGAAAGCATTGTCAAATGCAAAGTGGTGTTCAGCTTTCTCTGGGTTATATGTATATAGACGTACTGTTCATATGTGTTTCAGGATGGTATGACATTCCTGAAATTCTGATATGTCTTAATATATGTTTCAGGGGTTATCACAATTATTGTTAAATTGTTGTATGACACAGAAATAACCAAATTTCCTTGTCAACTGTGTCTTTAACTATGGTTGTCCTAAGACTTTTGTCATCCACAATTATTGTTTTGCTTTGATTTTTTTCAAAAATCAAAGTTATAATCAGCTGCAGTCCAGGGCTTGCTTCTCTGGGCGAGTTCGTGGAAAGGACTATTGGATGCAGGTTTCTGATAAGTTTGGAGATTATGCCATTGGAGAGGAAACTTCCAGGATTCTAATTAAAAAGCTGGTGTTGCCAGGCACAGTGGCTCATCCCTGTAATCCCAGCACTTTAGGAGGCCAAGGCAGGCGGACCACCTGAGATTGGGAGTTTGAGACCAGCCTGACCAACACCACAAAACCCAGTCTCTACTAAAAATACAAAATTAGCCAGGTGTGGTGGTATATGTCTGTAATCCCAGCTACTTGGGAGGCTGAGGCAGGAGAGCTGCTTGAACCCAGGAGGCGGAGGTGGCAGTGAGCTGAGATGGTGCCATTGCAATCCCAGCCTGGGCAACAAGAGTGAAATGCCATCTCAAAAAAAAAAAAAAAAAAAAAACAGTTGGTGTTATCCCCAGTATGACTGCTAACCCAGTATGAAGCAGAGCAGGAGGTGACTGGATGGACTGAACTAATGGAGAAATGAAGCCATTTTTTGTGGCTTTTTTTTGAAACACTGCTGGTTCTTTTTGTTTCATTTTTCAGAGTCTGGAGAGCTTTTATCTTTTAAGCGGTTACATCCTTTAACAATTGAGTAGAGTCTACTCTCGCAAACAGAATTTGAGGCTTTTTTCTCTCTGTGCCTGACTTCTCCAGAATTTGGAAACTATGCAATTTTTTTAAATTTGTGGCCATGTGTTTGTTTGGGTACATTTACGAGGAATCTTTCTTTTGTAATGGGACACAGTTGGAGGAGCTGATTACTCTCCCAGGGCTTTGACTGGAACGGTACGTTTTCAGAAGGAGCAGATTGCTTTGAGAAATTGAGATTGGCTTTAACGAGCCAATAAGAATCTCTTAGAAGAACTGGCCTCATACCTTGACTATGCGGTTCCGTTTGCATGCTTCCTGGCCTGCAGTAAGTGGACCGTGTCACTTTCCCCAAGTTGTTTTGGGGCCTCGCGAAAAGTAGCTCTTCCGATTCACGCAGGGATCTGAAGGCACAGATGGATCCTTAGCTTGGCTTGAGAGGCCTTTGAGGTTGAGTCTGAGATTCCCTCTGAAAGGTTCCTGCAAAGCCAACCTAGGAGAGCCTGTATGGACAACGACTCTTGGCTGGGCACGGTGGCTCATGCCTGTAACCCAGCACTTTGGGAGGCCAGAGCAGGAGGGTTGCTGAGCCCAGGAGTTTGAGACCAGCCTGGGCAACACAGTGAGACCCTGTCCCTAAAAAAATTTTTTTTAATTAGCCAGGCCTGGTGGTGCATGCCTATAGTGCCAGCTACTCTGGAGGCTGAAGTAGGAGGATCACTTGTGCCTGGGAGGTCGATCACTTGTGCCTTCTTCCCTGGCAGAGCTCGTCATCTCACCGATCTGTGCGGTGAGCCATGATTACACCACTGCGCTGCAGTCTGGGTGACAGAGTGAGACCCTGTCTCAAAAGAAAAAAAAAGACAATAATTCTTCCTGCTCCTTGTGTAGGTAATCAGGCCATGTATACGGGACTGAAGCTTACTTTGCAGGTAGGTTGGTCTTGCTGTGATTTGTGTTTGGTGGAAGTGGAGGACTGGAAAGAGAAAGATTGTGTTTCAGAAAAAAAATCTAGTATCGGCTTAACCTTGGATTCCTGGGTTGGCCGCATCGTCCCCAATGACATGGCGCTGCCCACACGCCCCTCCTCAGCATGAAGCAGCCAAAGACCCACAGCCTGATTCCTCATGATGGAGGAACTGACAAGTGGGGGGTGGAACGGCCGAACAGCCCCGCAGAACTGATGCTTATGGTTTCTTTTTAATAAACATAAACAATAACCCTCCCATTCTTTAAAACTTGAGAAGTTACATTGGCCTTATCTGAGCTCCTTTCTCAGGAAACCAACCAGCAGGCCTTCTAAATAGTATCAAGGAACAGAGAGTCACTGGATCACAGCATCTGGACAGTGAGGCCCTCGCTCCCTCGCCCATCATGGCTGCCTGTGGGACCACCTGCTTCCTGTTGACCAATTCTTCTGCCTTAGCACTCCTAACTCCTGTTTTCCCACACGTGGTTACATTTCTTCCCTGCTTTACAAACCCTCAGTTTTAGTCAGTTGAGGAGATGAATTTCAGAACGATCTCCTGTTCTCCCGGCTGCAGCACCCGATTAAAGCCTTCTTCCCTGGCAGAGCTCATCATCTCACTGATCTGCGTGGTGGGCGGCAGGATCCGGACAGAACCCCTGGTGTTTGGGTAACATGTTCATTTCTGAACCCACTCAAATGTTTTAATGTTTAAAAACTTTCTATTTGAAAGACAAATGTGTAAATAATATATTCCCAATCAGCAATTAACAGATGAATAAACAAATGAGTAAGTGAAGTATGCTGGTGCCCAGTTTAAAGGCTGTGCCCTTAATCAGCAGCAAAGATGGAGTCCAATCGGTCAACCTAAAAAGTTATGAAATTATCCTGAGTCTTAAACCAAAAATTCTGTTTTCTGTGTAACCTTACGCTTGGAAGAAAAGTTTAATTACCAAGCGGAAAGGCTGGAAACTAGGGGCCTGGACAGGGAGACCCACCTGCCCTCAAACACTCCATCCCACCCGAGTGACAACTGGCAAGGCTGGTGCCCAGAGAGAGCCATCAGCCCTCACCCCGTCAGTACCCTGTGAATAAAGCAAAGGGCCAGAACGATGGATGAGTGTGTATGTAACCGGAGAAGAAAAAAATACTACAAGCAAATTTCACAGCCAAGTGGCCAGGCCCCCATCGTGGATCTGCATAACGGGCCCCCCGTTCTGGGGACACCCAAAGGTGGCCCTGGTGCCAGTTCGTCCCCATCTGGAATATTCTTGGCCACTGCGGACAGCAGTCGTTCCTCGAGTGTGGATGGGCGGATGCAGTGAACGGGAAATGGTGATGGTTTTAGTGTGGATCTTAGAGAAGTAACTGCAGGGCCCCTCAAAGTACAAAGAAAGAACAAGACTTCGGGCCAAGGGGTGAAACGCAGCGGATAACGCCACGTTGAGGCGAAGAGGAAACGCCGCAGCGAGCCCGCGCTGGCCGTCAAACCCCCATCTGGGCCGGTCCCCTGCGCACCCCGGCGGGGCCCTGGGGACTGACGGACCCGCCAGGGAAGCCTCGCCCGCACCCTTCGCCTCCGGGGAGGAGCAGCCGCGGCCGGGGCCGATTCCATTCAGAGCGCCGGGAATTCGGGAAGGACGCGCTGCAGGCAACGGGGGCCCGGCAGGGGCTGCCCGCGGCCCAGGGCACGCGTGGGGACAGGAGAGTTGTTTGAACGAGCTAAACCCGCCGGGCGCGGAGTCCCCGGTGAAACGCGGCAGAAACGCTGAAGCTGCTTCAAGGACCCAGCAGGGGAGTCGACTCGGGGAAAACGCCCCGTGAAGCCGCCCGCGAGCGGCCGGCCGTGGCCGCGGGGTGGGAAGGAGCCGCCCCCGGGACCCCCGGGAGGAAGGCGCGGCCGCGTCTCAGCGGGCCCGGGGCTCTTGCTTCCCGAGAAACCACACACGGCCGGAATCCCCTTCAAAGCGTTTCTCAGCTAAACATCTTGCTGGCGGGATCTGTGGGGCCAATGAGACTCTCAGCACCGAAACCCTTTGCCTCCGCGGCAGGTGTCCCGGTGACGCTGAGCCGGGGCGCACGGGGCCGCCGCCTGCCGAGCACGGTCCCCCCTCCCCGGGGGGCCTTGAGAACGCGCTTCCCCTAAGTTTGCTCCAACACCGGGGAAAAATTACAAGCGTGGTGACACGCACTGAAAACCAGCAGGGCGTCCAGTCCTGTCTGGGGACCTGGGTGGGACAGCGGGCGGTGGGACCCCCGCTCCGGCGCCGCCCCCAACACGCACAGCCGGGGCGGGCCGGCCTCCAGCGCCCGCGAACAAGAGCCCGCCCCGCGCCCCGGGCCCCGGAGTCCGGGCCGCTCCTACCTGCGGGGGGAATCGGATGTCGGTCCGCGCGCCGTGCTCCAGCAGCAGCCTCACCCCGTCCGTGTCGCCGGCCTTCACCGCGAGGAACAGGGCCTGCGTGGGCACGCGGCACAGGTTGGGGTCCGCGCCGCGGCGCAGCAGCAGCTGGATGGTCCGCCAGCGCCTCTTCCGCCTGGAAAACCAGAGCGCTCGTGGGTCCCGCAGGGCAGGCACCCACGCCGCGAGGCCGGACACCTGCACCGCGCCCGGGGCGCGCCCAGCCAGCGAGGAGGCCGGGGAGGGGCGCGTGGGGGTTATGTGTGTGCCGCGACCACACAGCAACACACACAGCACACACACACAAGCCACACCACCGCACACACAGCACACATACACACACAGATCA